GTTTAGAATTTGGAATACATTTACACCGAACTAGTTCTTTACTCAATCTTATTGTTTGTAACCCGCAAGATCCTCTGATCCTCTGAGTATCACGATGATGCTGTCTTAGTGCGTTCACAAGGTCGCGGATGACTTCCGGACTGCGAAACTCACCGCACCTGCGGGATAAACGATTGTGAAGTTTGATATCTACGGGAAACAACGGTTTTGGTAAGATTATAGAAATGGCAGTTAAATGTTAATGGATTCTAGATAAGTTACCTCCGGGCTCCGAAGAAGACGTGTTCCGGATTCCGAACATGTTCCTCCGCGATGACCTCTTTCCGGATTCCGGCCAAAATAATGTATGGATTAACGGTCATTGTTAGAGTATCTAGGCATGTTGGAAGATATCCAACTTCAAACTCAAGAAGTAGATCATCAAGTTTTGATTGCGAATGGTTTGTGACGACTCAAGTATAAATATGAATCTGGCCCCCCGTTAACCTCAGATAAAATTCACTCAACAAGCTTTCATTGACAACTCGTTCAATAAAACTATACTCCACTTACTATATACATCAGAATGGTGACCTCCAGTCTAATTGCTTGCCTCGTCGTGTTGGCGGGTGTCGCTGTGGCGTATCCAGGTAGGTTTCCAACCTTTGCAGCGCATCGCTTTGCTAATACAACATGCTTCAAATTGCAGCTCCCCCGGTGGCTGAAAGCCACGCAGTTTTTCGACGATGTGGACCTCTTGAGGTATGCCCTGACTCAAATCTGTCAGGTGAGACTATTGTTACCATGTAGTTGAATTCAGCTGATCAATTGCTCATCTCCTTCAGCGGCGCAAGAACCTGCACCCGTTCGAAGGTGCGGACCTCTAGAGATTTGTAACGATGCAGAGCCAGTAGCACCCGTTCGTAGGTGCGGACCTCTGGAGCTTTGTACCGATTCAGAGCCGGTGGCTCCTGTCCGAAAGAGGTGCGGACCTCTGGAGGTTTGTGTCGATTCAGAGTCAGCAGTGGAACAGTAAACGTGATATCATATATAGAACAAGATATAGGCTAGGGAATATTTGTTCTTGATATGGCACCAATTATGGACTGGATTTTATTGTAGCGTAGCAGAGTTGAAGAGAGAAGATATGGATGCAAAGTTGTGTTTGGAGATGTTGATATTTTTATAGCTTACAGAATGGACTATGATGAGGTGACTCTCTTGTTTTATTCATGTTCGGTGACTTTCACGGGTGAAATACTGACTCCTAGCGAACCAAACGCAACTACTTTTCGCATGCCTTGGTTCCTTATTTAACACCATATTGCCAAACTTTTAGCAAAAGTTATCGTTCAAATATTATTTAGGCGTCACTCCATCAATAATCCTCCCTTTCACCACAAACTCGCCCATGGCTGGTAGTTTTCGGCCTGCATCAGCTGTTGAAGCTGCCTCCGCCGAACTCCAATATTACCACCATCAAAGAGTGAAAACACCGTCGCATCATTCAATAGTCTCGGAAACACTGTATCAGTTCGGTAAGATGTCCTATATGTGCATCAGCCTAATGAGCTTATTGGAGGGGTAAATGTGTTGGAGAATTTGGACATCTTTCCTCCCGGGAATAACTCACATTCCCACCAACTGCATCGTGTCCCAGACAGCACTGACAGCCTGATCGGTGCAATAAATCTTGGCCTGCAAACAGGCTTCGTATCGGCTGCTGTCATCTCCAGTTCCTTTTTCAACGCCATCGAGAGCCTTCCAAGCGAGGAGACGAGATGTATCAATCTTGATCTTGGCATTGATCAACAAGTCAGCTGGGCTTTGCCTCTCTATAATGGGTACCGTGCCTCTGCGGCTGTCTTCTTTGGCGAACTTCAGGGCTGCTTCAAAGGCTGCCCGCATCGTCCCAACTGCCATAGCACCCGCTAACGCAGCAGACATGCTGAAGGCCCGCAGGATGATGGAAGCTCCAGTCCCTGGAGCCCCTAATACGTCTGCAGCCGGAACTTTGAAGTTAGTGTACCTGGTTAGTGGCCCAGAGGCCGCAGTATGACCCATAAGATTCGGTTCTGCGATCTTTTGATACGCATTGGGCTCATTCTGAGCTATCGTATCTCTTGTAACCAGAAAAACGATGATGTTTGACGCGGGATCATCATTTGGGTCTTGAGGTCCACCATCCTCAGATAATCGGCAGCAAAGGCACGCGAGCGCAGCACCTTTTCCGTCCCAACCAGCGCTGTTGGTAGTCCATAACTACGTGTAGTTGCAAAGCATTAGTAAAAGAATGAACTATTTGATTGAGAATTGTGGTCGGAATTTCCTACTTTGTCGCCATTTATAATGTAGTAGTCGCCTTCTTTCCGGGCAGTAGTTTCCAATCCTTGGCCACCCTTTTCAAGCCAATTGGCAGTGCCACCCGGTTCGGAATGGGCCAAACTAGCAAGTGGTTCACCTTCGCAAGTGAGAAAAGGAGCAAGAAACTTCTTTTGCTGCTCTGGTGTGCCGCCTAGAATCAGGGGCATTAAACCAAGTCCAGTGCCGAGCACATGAAGCATAATGCTCGAATCGATTGCATAAAGCTCTTCCGCAACAATTGCGCCATCTATAAACGACTCATTGCTTCCACCGAGTGGGACTGGGACCTGAGCTTTTACAAAGCCAGCTTTCACAAGCTTTTGGTAAAATGGCAGAGTGGCTTGGAATCGGGATTCCTGGTCGCTGTATTGCGAGTATATTTCTCTAGCAGGTAAGAGAATCTCTTTGCCGATTTTGGCAGCTTCCTCTCGAAGAGCCTTTTGTTTATCGGTTAAGCTAAATCCGATCATGTTGAATATTGATCAAAGAAGGAGAAGCTGTGATATCGTTGCTCAATGGGAAGAAAACAGAGATGTGTGGTGTTATGGTAGAGCGACACGGCACAGTCGAAAACTGAGAGAGCTGCTCTGATTAGATGTTATATACTAAACAAACAATACAAATAGTTCTTCGATCATTACATATGAGTGATTAACCTTTCATAAGCGACTTCCCAACTTCGATACATTACTGGGTAGTGATGTTCGAAGAGGGGCACTCTTTAAATCCTGCAGTGTTGCGGCCGCCCTCCACGAGTCAACTGTTGGGTCGGGCGGTTGGGTCGGATCATGTCGCTTATGCATCGGCTTATACACCATATTAAGAAGAATTTACCGAAATATATGGCACTTAATATGGAAGATAGGATGTGTAGTTTGTTACTTAGTTCATGTACCAGCTATAAAACATACTGTCTTCATTCGCTTTTGCCAATTGCCTTGTACAATGGATTATCGTGTTCTATTGGAATAAAGGTTGAATATAACTGCCTGATGAAGTCCTGCAGTTTCAGATAGTAGGCTACCTTAACCAACTCTACTGGGGAATTTGACTTCCATTACCATACGGTCCTCTCGCCTGTCTATCTAGCATTTCTTTCAGCTCAATACCCACTAAAGTAGTTGATATGCATCAGGTGAATAGTGTGGGTGTTTCTTTGTGCTAATTACACTCTTAGTTCAACGCTATACTGACACGAACACATTAGCCACTTCGACCTGCATCTCTTGAATCTCGTCTATTCAATGCATCTGGAAGAATAAGCGTAAAATCACTGATGTGCATTAAGTTGATCAAATAAATACACCATATAAAACTTTTATTCATGTGAAATACAGCATGAGACCACATACGTCAAAGACAGTGACTTTTAAGCATAGTCTTCAGAGCGTAAACTCGGACATATCAACCATCGTCAACCCCGCGGCTGACAAAAATGAGCTAACTACGGAGTAGACCAGAGAGAGAGATGCTGACCTGACCAGTGTTACCCACTGCTTACGAACATGTATAGTCACCACCATGTGGGGTTTGCCTACTCGGCAAATAATTACGCGGAAACGATTGGTATTCCAACATATAGCCATGGCCTGAAGGAATGATAGGCGTGAACAGGTTGCCCATTAGCGTTGCTTTCTTCTAAAAATATGTGACGAGTGGGTTGCATTCTTGAAAGCTGATTAGTGATTTCGTAGGAACAGTTGCCTACCGCTCAGAACTGACTCGTGGGAATTTTACCCCTCAACAAGAAGATGTGAACACCACACCCAATCTCCAAGAGTCTCCCAAGTAGACTATTCTTCTAAACTACCGCAATCACATGTCATCACCACTTGGCTGTGAACGCTCCCCAGAGCGTATTTGCATACTCAAGACGCTGAGTAATATGTCATCTTCAGTAAAGAGAGGCTCGTTTATAGCAAGAATCTGATGATATTGCAACGTATGTAGTAAGCCGGCGTTTGGCTATTTGTTGAACGGTAATGTCTTGATGAATTAATTGTATTGAATGTGTCGCAGTTTACATTGTAAATTCGATCTGGGTTGCTTGTTATATATATCTAGTCCTTCAACCATAGAGGACAGAATCAACAAGTAACTATTGTTAAGCAAATAATTGTCCACCAATAGGAATGAATGAAGGCGATATTAGTGTGAACTGTGTCTTAATGTCCGTATTGATGCAATTGGTTTCGGATAGACGGAAACTCCCGATGTCAGATGGAAAATCCCAAACTCATCGGAATAGTACCAAGTAGGGAAATAAATCTGGTAGAGTTTGGGGTTGGAAAGGCGGCATGGAGCTCAAGAAGGGACGAACGGTCGGATCGGATTTTGGGGACTTTGCGGAAGTTACCGTGCTAGTGAACGGCGATGCCATTTCGGCGTTTAGGGGCTCTTCATGTTGCTATGTCATCCACACGCTAAAGATTGTCGAATTGCCATTTTTGGCATTGAAAGAGATGGCCATAGGCGGAAATAACGTGTGAATAATGGTCTCTCTGAATACGATCGATGTATTGCGCTGAACATGGTCAAGAACCCTCACTTGGTTGATATAAAGAGGACGTTGCCAATCGGAAAATTAAACATGAAGGGAACGGATAAATACACCATATTCTATAAGAAGATTGGCACCAAACTCATATCATCTTATAATGTCACAGATCTTGAAGAATGTTATGCTCGTGGGGGTATGTTGGTGCTCTTGACGAGATTGTGGCCTTGTAACTGACGTGAAATAGGCTGGAGGGAATCTCGGAACACACGTGCTGCGGTCCCTTCTTGAAGCACAATTCAACGTTTCTGTAATGAGCCGAGCATCCAGCAAGACTACTTTTCCGGAGAATGTACGAGTATATAAGACGGATTATTCGGAGTCATCACTTATAAGTGCACTCGAGGGATATGATGCTGTGGTAAGCACCATCAGTGGCAGCGGGCTGAAAGAGCAGCAAAAAATAATTGATGCCGCCATTCTTGCTGGAGTAAAAAGGTTCATTCCATCAGAATATGGCATTGACGTCTGCCATCCGAAAGCTATGGAAATTGTTCCTTTCTTCAGCCAAAAACAGCAAATCAATGCCTATCTGAGGAGCAAGGAATCTCAAGGCATTACGTGGACCAGCGTGGCCACAGGGCCTTTCCTGGATTGGGTGCGTTTATTAACATCATCTTTGAGAGTTTTAATTTTATAGAGAAGACTTTCTAATAAATGAAACAGGGTCTTCAGGCTGGGCTGTTTGGATTTGACTTGAAGAATCGGTCCGCAACTTTTGTTGATGAAGGCACTCAGCCATTTAGCACCACAATTCTCCCCACAGTCGGCAAAGCCATAGCGTCTGTTCTTACACACGCCTCTGAGACCGAGAACAAAAGGATCTTCGTCCACTCATTCAGGACTACTCAAAAGCAGCTATTGGAGATATTGGAGAAGCAGACGGGTACGCCATGGAAGGTACGACACGTACCGGCTGATGAAATGATATCTGCAGGGAGACAGAAGATGTCAAATGGCCAAGGCGGTGTCTTTGAGCTTCTCCAGGTGGCAATGTTTAAAGGAGGCTGTGGATCCGATTTTGAAACTGAGTTTGAAGTGCATAATGATCTTCTGGAATTACGTCCAGATAATCTTGAGGGGTCCATAGCCTCTATACTCAGCCTCTGATAGTAGTTGCAGCTGGGATGTCCATCTGTATTGACAATTATTTATATTTATGTAAATTGCCTGGTTCGTACTATTTATAAACATGTCAATGTCGAATGGGTGGCAAGGAAGAAGAGAGATCAAACCGATGGCTTTAACTACACTATTGATGTTCTTCAGATTGCCACCACCCTCGTCGAGGTATCTCGCTTCAACTTCTTATTTACTATTATTTGAATGGAAATATTATATCATAATCTTTAACTTGATCACGAGATCTTTCAGTATTTCTCTTCTCCTCGTCTTTCTCAATTGCAGGGTAAGGTCCACTACTCGGACATTGGCCTACCGAAACGCAATACCAGCAACAGTGACATAATATTCATGAAAAGAGAACCATACCCAGAGGACTGAATAACAAATGTGAGTGCATATTTATCCATGACACTATATATGGCCTCCTTAGATACATTCGACGGCGCCCTTTCATCTGATAAACCGTTACGAATGACATAGCACATAATTACTCAACTTCAGCGGCTGGGAAATACATCTGCGGGAACATTTGCCCTTATAACTGGCCCGAGATACGACTCATAGTCATCAGGATTAGTCTCATTGCCATTCCACTTCAACGCGCGAGCAAGAGGTCGGTAATCTCCAGTGGTGAAGTTGTAAGTTACGCCATTGTTCGATAGCGTTGGAGTATGAAACATATAGAAGAAGCCAGTTGCAGAAGACCCTTCAACGTCAGTCAGATTATACTCCTGAATTGTGCCATACGTTGGTACACCAAGGAAGCCAGGCAAGATGGGCTGCGGCGTGTCTTGGTAGTCAATCTTGACGGAAGGATCAAAACCATAGATGGTTGGGACAAAAGTGGTGTTAGCGGGGACGAGCTCGTAGAGGATATGTGCCGACGGCAAGCCGATATCGATCCTTAAGAACGGGATAATAGATTCCGAGGCATTTGCGCTCCAATGATAAGTGTCGATGTTGGGTGTAGTTGCCTGAGCTGAGAAGACATTTTGCTGATCACCTGGAATAGACAAGACTTGCGGGCTAGCGTAAGGTACTGTCGTCGTCGCATTCTGAGTTATCGGACCAACAGCGTCCCTGCTGTATGGCAAGCCCATATAGGGAATCGAGTAGACGTTATTATCGCTGGAAATTTTAATGAATCCGCTATAGACAGGCGTCGAGTACGGATATTTGTCGGGCTGAGGTGTGATATGCACTGTAATAGTGGTTGACTCGCCGGGCTGAAGAGTCAACTTGGTCGTTGAGAATTGAGCAGATGCAGGAACAGAATGCGGAGTATAGGCGCTAATGGTGTCAAAGTTTGGTTCGCCGGCCAAGTAATTTTCATGGGCTCGAAGAAATGCGGCCGGGTCGTGGCTGAAAGTGTAGTGATTTGGTTTCTTTGAATCGTTTGTTATGGTTATCTTCTGCGGTGAAGGATTCGCAGAGTCCCTCAAGCTGAATTCCGAAGGACTTATTGTTGAATCAGCTTTGACAGCGGCATAAACATCAAGCATTCCACCACCTTGGCGAAGCGTGGAAGTGAATGGTATCGTGGAGTTGTATTCTGGGAGCGGAGAAGCAGCAGTCTTGAGACGATCAAAGAGTTGTGCAACAGTTAGATGAGGGAATTGGCTCTTGAGAAGCGCATAACTCGCGGCTGCGAGCGGCGTTGCCATGGATGTTCCCGATACAACGGCATAACCACCCGCGGCAAGCGGCCATGTTGATAGAATTGTGCCTCCGGGTGAAGCGACTTTGGGATGCAGTGTCATCTCGATGGTAGGACCAAGGCTCGAGAATGAGGTCACAAAGTTTCCTAGTGGGTCAGCAATGAGCTGCTGAGATTGTGAGCCTGTGGAAATGAATTGCAGGCTATACGTCTCGTTAGGTGATAAGCCTTGAATAGCTTCCACAATTGCTTTTGAGCTATCGTAGGTCAAATACAATGTGTCGGGAGAGCCGTCGTTTTCAGGTTCATCTAGCTCGATAAGCTGATCTTCGCTTGTGAGGTAAGCCATAATAGTTGTGACGCCCAACTCCTGAGCTTGAAACCAGCCAGTGCCACAATTATCCTCCCAAGATACCAACAGTATAGTTGTGTTCCAATCTACAGTTGCATTAGCCGCTGCATCCCAGGCTGGCTGGTAACAGCCACTGGCGACAGTATCATTGATCGGTATTCCAAGCCCAGTTCCAAGCACGAAGATGTCCTGCTTGCTCTTTCCTGGAAAAGGGAGTACTGATATATAATCTAGCGATTTGCCTTTCTCGTCATGGGCTTGGAAATGAGTCTGATATACTGCATTCTCCACGGCCCCTACGCTGAGCGCGTCTTGGCAAATACCAGGAATCGATGCACTATAGATCCCAGGGCCAAAGTTGCCAATGGCTGCCACAACCGCTACTCCCTTCTGTGCGAGCTGGGTGACCACCGGGTCGAAAGGGTTGAGAGCTTCCCATAATTCGCCGATGATTCCAAGAGATATGGAGAGCACGTCTGCGCCGTCTTCAGCGGCTCGAAGCATTGCGCTTATAATGATGTCGTTGGGTGTGCCAGAGCCTGGACAGCTCAAGACTCTGTAAGCTCCTATTGTCGCATCAGGAGCCCCTCCAACAAGGCCAAAGCCTACATCGTCGGGATCTTCCATTGCCAGAATTCCTGCCACGGCGTTAGTCCTAATGCCGATATAGTTTAGAGATTTATTACTCGTCGCCAATACTTACCAAGAGTGTGAGTGCCATGTCCACCTTCAGGACATGTTGCCAGTGGATCAGGGCTAGGCATGGGAGTATTGGTGCCGTCGTAATTATCACCCACGAAATCATAACCGAAAGCAATTTTATGGCCAGGTCCGAAGCCTCCGCCAAGTGCGGGGTGACGATAATCGACACCAGAGTCAATGATGCCGATCTGGACTCCTTTGCCTCTGATGCCTTCGTCGTGAAGCTTCTGAATGTTGACAGAAAGTAGGGGCTGGTTCACGCCGCTAACACCTCGTAGGTTGGGCAAAGTCGTATTGCTGTTGCCAGTGGTCGATTGGGTACTGCCGCTGGTCGACTTGACCTTTGGACTACCGTTTCTATAATATGGTTCAGGCGGAGGGACAATCGTCACATGCCAGGCGTTCTTCACTCCATTGGCCTTCCTGACAGACTCAAGGTCGACATCTGTGTGAAAGGAGACCGAAATTCCTGAGAAAATATCCACGGAATTGAACTCATTGCGAAGTTGGTAGCCCGCTTTGATGCCTACAGGGGTTTGTGCAAAGCGTTGCTGAGGTTGCAAAGAGGGATGGAAATCTGGCTCAAACTCAATAATGTATGCATTGGGAACAATGGTGATGTTGGGCTTCTGTGCCGGTTGCACAGTCGTGAGCGATGCCGCGCTGCCAGTTACGGCCAGCAGGCTAAAGGCGGCCTTGACTTTCATTTTTCTAGGCCAATAGGAGGCTCAGAGGAATCCAATCAAGTGGCACTGAGTTGCAAACAAGACAACTTAATGTCTTGTGGCTTAACAAATAAGCGCCCAGAGAGAATCAACCCTCGTTCGCTCCCATTCATATATTATATAGTACAAGTGAGTGTGCTAGACGCGTCTAGTGATGCAAGCAGCCCATATTGTGACAGATTTTGTGACACGACGCCGATCGAAATACGAGGTAGCATCACGTTTACGAGGCTCCCATTTTTGGGATCAAAATCCATCTCAACGCGTGCAAATCCACTTTTGATTGCGATGGGCGAGGTAAGTTGGGGGAAAAGTGGGCGTAATTCATGCCAGATTGATCTTCACTGTTACAGCAACTATCAACTTCTCCAAGAGATCACGCGAAGAAAATGATAAGGAATTACCAGGAGCTTGGCAGAATCGGGGAGTTTTGCGTATCCGAAAACAGTGGCAGCGTATGAATATCTCAAATATAGCAACACATTGCGCGGTTTGGACTCCGGAGTTCCGGAATCACAGACCGTTTACCCCAATATCTTCTCGTATCGGGCGCTAGTCTCATGCCGCTGACCGGCTGTTACGGTAAAATGGCATTAGTCGAGTTCTGAGACTGGGATTGTGCATGATACGAAGCTTGCACAGCTGGGATCGGAGGTATTGTCTTTTGTATCTGCTTTGGAATTAATGTAGTTATCACATTCGAGGCTTAGGTCTTTCTTTGGGATTGGATCTAATCTTCACAGCCATGTATGAGCCTGCTATTTGGCTACGTGAATAATAACTACAGATGGGATGCATCATTTTCAGTAAGATTATTCGTCTATTCATATAGTAAAGGTGATTGAAGTTTCCTCGAGCACATGCTTTCTCGTCTGGATTGGCCTCCATACAGCGCCGATGTCAACCCCATAGAACACGTGTGGAATCTGTTTTGAATTACCTTTCAAACAATATAGATACCTGATTTTTCCTAGTTGTCTGGCTTGAGATGAATGTATGTTTATTTGTTATGTTGTAATTCCGGGTAGCCTCAAATTACGTTTGTACGCAGACTTTTGACACCCCACTGTACTATTACTCAAGTTTCATGAAGAATGAGTTTTGATAGGAGAATTTGACGGGCCCGTGATCAGTAGCGGCTAGGATAGATGACTAAACCCTGCTCGGCCTGGCTTAGTAGTACATTTATAAAGGAGGAATATTTCCTCTAGCTAGATAAAGGAAACAAGACAAGTTATCTCGACGGAATGACCCCTAGCTATGACGGCGGCTTCGTTCTAGTTGAAACAAAGCTACGGAGTAGAGTAGCTAGATCGAATGGTTCCTTGAGCTTATTCTCGCGCCGTGGTCCTCGTAATGGCTAGACGAGTTCGGTTTCTCGTGATGTGTTTTGGTGTTATTGGCGAAGTTCAAATGTGTCTACGAGCAGCCGTCGTCCGCAGGCCTCGCGCGAGGGACATCGACATGGTCTGTCCAGGCGGCGGCCGGCAGCATCACCGACAGGCTTTCAGCCATTGAAGAAACGCTGCAGCTGCTCGTCTGTCGGGGGGGCAGAATCCACAGACGGGCCGGCTGCTGCCAACCATCATGGCCACAAGGACGGTGGGGGTGACGATGGCAGTCCCTCCATCGAGATCCCTCCGCCGAGATTCCTCCACCGCCTGTCCATCACAACGGATATTGCGAGGAACTGGCGACGCCGGACGAGACGCCGTCGGGCAATGTGGAAGGCTTCATAGACGGTCTAGGGCGGCTCTGAACCGCACGAGGCTGGCTTCTTTGTTCTTTGGGCCGTCGTCCAACATCCATCACCTTCTTCCGAGCCGTCTCTGAAGTCGCATCTGCTCTTCTCCAGTCCAGTGGTTCCAGCACGCTGCCTAGAGGCATCACCTCTTCCACTGTCCCGCGCTCCTCCTCCACCACCGTTGCAGGCCGGCCATCAGCCAACATGTTTTCTCTGCCCTCTCAGATCAAATCTCTCCAGCTGATTATGCTCTTCTTTCGCCGATGCCGGCATCATCTTTCCGATGGTCAAACATCCGTCTTTCATCTAAAGTTGCCGTTCAGAGGCCGTGGCTATGCCTCCTCAACACCATTTCGCAGTAGCATCCTACACAAGTAAGCCCGAGGCTTCGTCGGAGCAGAAACCCGAGTCAGAGATGTTCATTTGGAGAGCAGAGGGTTTGTGGGAGGACACGGAGCCCAGCGCTGCCAATCTGGAGTCTAGTGAGTCAGTACCTTTCATGCACATCCAGCACTCGCGTCCCAATACATCGTTGTACTGATTGATGGACTGCTACCCAGTGCAGTCCTGGTTGCTCATGACGCACTATTATCAAGGCGACTAACGACTGGAACGTGCGTGGAATGCACACAATCTTGCCGCTCGAACAGCCTACAAGATCGGGTTACATTCCAAAGCAGCCTTGGCCGGTCTGAGGCAGTCCGAGATGGAGGCGGCGCGCAAACGCGCATGGCACGGCTGTGTGGTCCTGGGTCTGTGAGAGAGAGACTTTTTGCATCTTTGTACGTGCTCCTTGCCGGGTGATTTAACATGCGCGCGTCCAGGCTGCTCGCCATAACCCTAAGGCAGCCCTTGACCATTCCTCCCAACCTTGTCGATATGGATCTATCCACCTGTCGCCAGTTTCTGCTAGCAGTAGAAGCTAGCAGTAGAAGCTATCAGAGATGAAGAGAGCACCTCCGATAGCATTACCCTCTTTACCGACACCATGTACGTATTAGCATCTGCAGTGCAATACTCATTTCTGACCTCTTTGTCTCCCGTCTTGGACAATGAGCAGACGACTGTACGACATACTTGGTGACACAATCTCCGATGTGTACAACTCGAATCTGAACAATGATATCCGACTCTCCCTGTCGCACATGCTTGCCCGGATTGTAGTTCACGAACAGAGGCTCGCAGAGTGGAGGCATAGACTATCGCCTCAGCTACAGCGTAGGCCGTGGGAGGCGACGGTTGAGGACGCAGACCCGAAGAACCTCGTCTTCGATAAGCTAAGCATCGTCATGATCTTACGATACCTCATCAATCGCATCCTTCTGCATCGACCCATTCTCAGCGCATCTTTCCATGACATCTGCCAAGCGCAAGACTTTCCCCCGGATTCTGAGGGTCCAATGAGCCCACAGAGTAAACAGCGTCTTTTTTCTCCCGAACTGGCTGAGCTCAGCATCAAAACTTGAGAGCAGACTGCCTTCAAGATGATCAGCATCGTTCACAAGACACGCCAGTCGCCGCAACGCTCGGCAACATGGTGGTTTACAGGGGAGCATGCTGCCACCTCGCGTGTGACAAATTCATCCTCCCCAAAAACTCTTAGTTTCTAACTAACCCTTGGTCTGTGTATCTTTCAATGCGTCTCTCGTTGTGTTTAGCTGTATTTTGCTCAAAGTCAACTCGTCTCAGAGGGCAGCCGGCCCATCCAGAAACGAGTTGGCGAGATTGTCAAGTTCAAGGTCGTACAGGAAGCTCGAGATGCTCAGGCGTCTGCAAATAGCCGCAGGGGCTCTGCATAAGATCAGTGATAGCACGAAATCAGCCGTCAGGGTGCGGGCCATACTAGCCAAGTACATCCAAATTTGTATGACCCTTCTTAGGGACAATTCCTTGCGCTCTACTGGTGCCATCGCCGTGGAGAAGCTTCTCGAAAGGCACACTTATTCAAGAGAGGAAGCCCCACATGCAGAGAAAAAGAATGTGGTCATGGAAGAGCAAGCCCAGGATGTATTCCCGTTCGCACTTAGTGATTCCTTTGGTGGGTTTGACATGGGCTTCTATCAGGCTTACAGTAGTCCGACCGCGATCTTCTCATCGACATGGCTGGGACAGAGAGCAAACTGATGGCCGCTATGATCTGACCACCAGGGCTTTCATGTTCAATTTCTATGATGCTGAACTTCAATGGTTAAAAACGACTCATGACTATGTGATCAGATCATTTCCTTGCTAGGTGGTATCACAACCAGCAATAACACGACCGGTCCGAAGGATCCTTTGTAGTAAATGTCCATGTCCTTTCGGACGCCAGTGATAATGGTTAGTCGCAGCTTCGAAGCAGACTAGATACCGTGGCCCATGTCGTCGGCTAAGAGTTGAGCGCCCTTGGACAAGGCATCAGTAATAAGCTTCTTATTATTGATAACGGCCACATCGCTGACCAGCTGAGTTTCGTCCCACCCTTGGGTGTCGGAAAAGTCCTTTAAGGTAAGCAGGAGCGCCTTGCAGAACTCCTCAGCGACCTTGGAGTTGATGATGATGCGTTCCGTGGACATGTAAATCTGGCCCGAGTTGACAACGGGCGCCATCGACACATCCCACATCCCCTCGCGGCCTTGGCGAGATCGACATCTTCACAGACAATGGCAGGGGCCTTGCCGCGGAATTCCAATGGGAGTGGGCTTCAGGTACTTGCCAAGCCTCTACGGCAATGATGGATCCAGCGCGGGTCGATCCGGTAAAATTGATCTTCTTGATGGCGGGGTGGGCAATCAGCTTACTGGTGAGGATACCAGCATCCTTGGGATCATGGTACAGGGTGTTGAGGCAGCCAGCCGGAAGGCCGGCATAGTGAAGAGCAGAGGGGAGGCAACTCCCCACATGGTTCCAGGAGCAGCCTCGGGACCCTTGAGCACAACGGTATTACCCCTGCAGTGTCCCTGTTAGTGAAGATGAGTTGGGCCTATGGGGACATACAGTATAGCAGGACGGAATAGGTACTAGTGGACATGGTGATGAAGAAATGCAGGAGTCGAGCCTTGCTTACTTACATAGCAAGCGGCTGCAGGCAAGCCCGTAGCGCCAGGACGTGGGGAATGTTCCGGGGAGAAGATGCCCAACACGACACCGTACGGCTCCTTGACGACCAGGGCACTACGACCAGAGGCAGCAATAACAGGGCTTGTTGATGTGGTGACCACTTGGATGAGGTCGGCGATGCTGCGGCAGGCGCTGGCCACGCCATGCTCGTGGTTGAACATTTCTGTATTGACACCAATCTCGGTGTGGCTAAAGTAGAACATGTCGTCGGCTCGCCTTCTCCATTAGGTCGGCCTCACGGAGGAAGATGCCTCTCCGAAAGTCCGGCTTGGTCTGAGACCAGCTCTTCAAGGCCCTTTCGGCCGAGTCGATAGCTCGTGTCGTATCTTCCTCTGTGACAGCAGAACATTTGTAGAGGGCCTGGTGGGTGACGGGAGAGACGGTGTCAAAAGTCTTGGCCAGTGTGATCTGCTTACCAACCAGGAAAAGGGGCAGCGTGGAGGTTGGGTTGAAAGTCGGCTTTGGGTATCAGATGGATCCCATGGCAACAGTTGCTTAGATGCTCTTTGAGAAACAAAAGCTTGAGATACCAAATTGGGAGTTGGCGTATCTATGACTCAAAGAGCTAAGAAAGGGATCCATTTGTTGAAGAAGGATGCTTTATTCAAAAGATGTTTTGGGCAGAGAAGTTACGCATGTGTTGTGTTTTATCGAGCGATGTTGAATGATTGTGATATTTTCCTCTGATGCTTTTTAAATGACCTTGGGAACTCCATCTATTTCAACTTTGAGTCTTCAAAGGGCACAAAGCTTGCCCCCTTTATATTAAAGGGCCCCTATACATAGCGAATTACTGCATACCCGTCGCAAACACGTAAATCAATCTTCTACAACAAGCTGCTCTTTCAGAGCCAAAGCTTTCCATCCCGTCATGTCCTTTCCCCCAACTGATCTCTCCCATCGAACCTGAGATTGTTTGATATCGTTTGGCCAAAGAGGCTTGACGTGAATGGTAGAATGTCTAAGGGTGCTGGCAAGCCGAACAGAGGCGACCGGGCATTTTGAATGTTCGCTTCAAAGCTGCTTGATCTTTGTTGCAAAGAACAGACATAGACATAGTTTACAAGCAAACTCTATCAAAGAGCATACTTAAAACAACCCCTTAGAGACTTATTTAGTCCAGATCCTACAATAACAACTCATTAAGTTTGTCCGCCTATTCGTTCATCATAACAACTTTCTCGCCTCGCGCTTTCATTAGGTGATTTCTGCCATGTCGTGGTGAATAAGCGAAAGGCCGAGGTTGACGATTTGGCCACCTCGGCTAACATGTCTGCATTATCTCTGTAGTCGACATGGTAAATGCAGCAAGACAATAAATCCAACTGCATCACAATGCACACGCATACGCATACGGAGTAAGGCGATAACGAGTAGGGACCTGGGACCAGGTGGCTTCAGAATACCAAATGCCTCCAGAAACAGCATGTTGTGCGAATGCTCCATAGCGAGTGTCTCTAACTAGTTCACCTGTCTCCATAGAAGTAACGGTTCCAGTCAAACGTTCCTTGCATGGCCCGGCTTCTACTGTATTATTCGCATGCAAGATAGAAAGTGGCAAATCAACGTGAGGCATCAAATCACGCCAACTCTTTTACATGCTCAGTGCTCATAAGTTCTACAATATTCATCATTTTGTAAATAGACATGTCCGGCTACTCGCGAGGTCGAGTTCAATAACTAGGTAACAGTAAGACAAATTGAAGAACTCGGTGGATTCGGTCTGTAATGATACTAATCTAATTACCTAGGTAGGTAATTGTCTCGCCAGAAGATCGGCCGGAACTGGACAACGTAATACGACGAGAATATAAGAGCAAGCCTCCACTCCGGTGATAGCGCGATTACGTACCTGTACGGAGTACGGAGGTCGCCGTTAAACGTCTTGTCCACGAATGTAGCTATCCTAAAGAGTCTTTAGCAACCTCTGCGGAGTAGCTCCATGTCCCTTGTTGATACGATTATCGGGAGGTTTCCCTTGAAACTGTAGTGCTTATAGTTGATGTTCTTACCTACTAAGGCAGGAACTTATTGCGATATAATGCATCTGCATACAGGTGCAGGTACCCTTGTATATGCGATAGAGCAACCCTGTTAGCTTGGAGAAAACTTTAGTCGCGACCTCCGTAGTGCGTGATCACTATGTAAATACCGTATATTGCGTATTCCCTCGCAAAACTGGACTGTGGGTCTCTCCAGATGTGACTCCCGGCGGCTATTAGTTACTAGGGGTAGTAAAGTAATCGTCTAACTCTGTGCAGTTCATTAAGCGAAGAAAGCAGACAAATCTACAGTCCAGTTTTGTGAGGGATTACGATATCCCACTCTATTTTTCCGCATTCATACCTAGGTAGTACACGTTGTTGATCAAGGTTCCAATTTCTCAATGTATGTGTATCCTCATGTCATCCCCATGCTTCAGCACAATTCTCCGATCCCTCACCCAGCCAATGCCTAAACCGGTGCCTGTCATGACGATAGTTCCCCGTTCAAGGGTGGTACCTTGTGAAAGGAAGGGGATGATCGTCTTGATCCCTGGAGATCAAGGCTAGTGTAGCCGTTGGTGCTGACGAGCAGGATTCTGAGGCTTATGTACTTCGTGTTCGAATCATGCACTGCCGCGCCATTAAGGATTCTTTGGATTACCAACTGCTCCGGGTGTCCGATAGCGCCAGGGCTGGCCAACACTAGGCCGATGGGATCGAATTCCTTGGAGAAAGACCACTGGTTCTTGAACTACTGCACTCGCGCAGACATTGTTACCGCAAGTGTAACCTAGGACGGAGTCTTCTCTGATGTGGCGTCCATCCTTCGAGATCGCAAAGGTCAATTCGGCCTCATAATCGTCCGAGCCGTCCTGGGCAATCTTGGGAATTAATAATGGTAGGATGCGGGCCGCTTATCGATCTCCGCGGCGGAATTCGGAAAATAGTAGTGGTGTTAGTGTAAAATTCTCTCGTGTTAACATCAGGGCGTACACCGATTGAATGACCAGGAGGCTTCGGATAACTTACTACTACCCCAGTTGTTATTATAGTAGGAACTTTTGCAGTTGGATCAAAGTTACGCTGTTGGACCAAAGTTATACAGTTGGATCGAAGTCATCCAAGTGAATCAAAGTCATCTAGCCAGATCAAGTTCGTTGAGTTAGATCAAGTTCATTGAGTTGGATCAAAGGCATCTAGCTAGATCAAGTTCATTGAGTTCGATCAAAGGCATCTAGTTGGATCAATGTCATCCAGTTTGGATTAAAGTCATTTAGCTAGATCAATATTATCCGGCGAGACCAACACCACCTCATCCAATTAAGGCCATCGAGCCAGGTTATGCTTATTAAAAGAGAGATAACAAGAAAACAGTTTGTATTTTTACCAATAGTTACTATGTGGACACACCTTCCTAATGTAATTTAGCAGGGTAGTGGATTTTGACTTTTGGGGTGTGGAAATCGAGGGCCCCGTTTGCCCAGGTTGCCGAGGGGAGGTCTGGATCGCAGCAATGCATCGCGCATCTGCTTTCCAATTAGGCCAAGTCTCTGTTGTCAGCATCGATATTGTCAGCCGAGTATGAGTGCAATGGCCAAAAGAAGGATCAAGCGGCTGATGTTGAATACGACTGACATGTTGTCGAAGTAGGTAGGGGTATTAATTGCAACCATGGCACGCAATCTTGCCAAGAGTATATAGGTAGGAACCATTGCCTGCCACCAGCCATGGTATTACAAGAAATGGAACCTCGGGGTGCCTTTATGTTTACAGCAATGATCAGAGTTCGTGACCCATCCACTGCTGCCATGGCATCGCCCCAAATGCTACCCAAAGTCGACAGGCGCTACAGCAACAGCTCGCCTCTCTCTCTACGCATGTCGTGCGACCGCTGTCGTGTCCAGAAGCTTAAATGCTCTGTACCGGCCGGAGCAGAAGCTTGCCAGCGGTGCATGCGGGCTAGAGTCTCTTGTGTGTTTGGTCGACGGACGCCTTCGAAGCGCTCAAGCCGGACAGCAACACGCCCGCCCAGCCCGCCCAGCCCGCCCACACAAAATGAACAACCGCCCTTGAGCCCCCAACGGGCCGTTGCCGTTCCCCCGGCGCCAAGCTCCGGGTTGATAACGGCATCAGCATCAACATCGTCATCATCCACATGCTCGTCACTATCGCCAACGATAGCGCCATCCGGCTGTCAGGCTGCGACTCCAGATACGGAGCTGGATACATGTACGCTCATAGTCTCTGAGCCCATGCCGTCGGCGGCCCCAGAGCCAGAGCTCGAGCCCAGATCGTGCGATGCTCTCCATCTCCATGCCTCGTGGGACGGCTCGGCTGTGGACCTGGACCTGTACGAGTATGGCTTCGTCTCCACCATGCCCAAGCGTAATGGCGACATGGACATGGACATGGCCGGTTACGACTGGCTGGAGCAGTCAGGGTTTGCTTTGGACGACGGGAGCACGTTTGAAATGGGCCGATTCGACCTGGCGCCATGGTCCCATTTACCACCCCCGACAGCCGAGGCGAGACGGGTCCCTGACGATATGGCCGCGATCAACAGCACCTCGGCCAGTAATATCAGCAGAATCAACAACGCTGCCACTGCAACGACCGGCCAGCGACTCACAGCCCTGGTATCCGAGATCCAGCAGCAGCTACGGAGATTGGAGGAGGGTCCGTGGCACACGGACAGCACCCACAGCCTGCACGACTACCCAGTTGGCACCATTCTCGAGCTTTCGCAGCAGTTCAGTGCCATCGCAGGGTCCATCCTCAGCAGCACCGTCTGCACCAGTGGTGGGCTGGAGGCAGCCGGCAGCGACGAGGACAATGACAGCAGCGAGAGGATGGCTGGCTGCGCCACGGCAGACACGCCGACGATGCTGCTCATCATGTGCGGCTACATTTGGCTGGTACGAATCTACGGCATCGTGATGGGCCACTTTCAGAAGCACCTGGACCGAATGCCTACCGGCGATCCCCGCCATCTGAGGACAACCACGGGTGTTATCAGCCCCATCGCCGGTGGTGTAAGTGTAAGCACCAAGCTTCGGCTAGGGGAACTCCCCTGCACAGACGTGGCCCTGAGTCTGCAGCAGATTCACACAGCGGTCCGCATGCTGCTTGACGTGCTACATGAGATCGAGGGCCACCTGGGGCGCGGGGCCGTAGCAGCTTGCGACATGGCCGTGGCGTTGCTGCTTAACTCTGGGAGGCCCCAAAACGGCAGCTCCCGCGGCCTGGGCATCAAGGCGGCGGCAGTGAAGAAGCTTCTGAGGGAGAAGATGGGTCTTTGAGAGAATATCGACCCACTACCATATTGCCCCGATACTACCTACATGTATAGATGTCATGTTGTTATAGAGCCATACCTAGCGTGGCGATTATAAGCGGAGTTTACTATGTTCCAGATCTTTGAATAGAATCTTGCTGTTACATTAAAATATGAGTCAGGTTGACGACTGTTTATTTATTCTCCACGCTAGTCTATTTACTACATATTCTAAAAGCAAAGTATTGTGGCTATATGTACTAGTAAGTAAATGTTAGTTTTGGCTAAAAAGCAGGAATGTTAGTTTACAGTAGTTTATATATTAAATTATAAAAAAATTCCCAAATGAAGTAATATTTACATTAAATGCCAGCAAGCTGGGATATATATATAGCAATAAATAATACGTTAAATTATAGATATAATACAAGGGAAAGAACAGTATTAATGTACAGTATGTACCTAACAAGAAACGGCAGATGGAAGAGCACTAGCCCAACTTGAGTCCTAGTCAGGTACTCACTCGTACGTGACGTGCCGACACAACCGATCCTGATCCATGTTGGGAATAATGTACGAGAGCAATCACCGTCGCAGATTATCTAGCCCCACAAACGTGGCATGTCTTGTGGTCTTATATTATGGAACCCCAAAGTCCCTAGGCTACCATTTGCCGTAAGATAGTAGGGATCTGCAGGTCCTGCCGAGTTTGCCGTGTCGGGCCGCTCGGCAGCAATCCCGGGGTTGCGGCAACGGAGCAGTCGACGGAGCAATCGACGGCGCAGTCGACGGAGCAAATCGAGGGGAATGCTGTTGCTCAAGCATCCAGATCCAGTTCTCCGCCGGGGGAACGTGGAGACATGACTCGCGAGGCTCGTACAACCACGTGTTGCCCCCTCCTTGACTGGCAACTTTCCGACAACCTGGCAGAAGCTTTCGGCCGAAAAAGACATGGAGTCTGCAGTTTTTCGTCCGTTGATAGCACTCCGTAACCTTTTTGCCTCATACAGTAAGCTCAACCAGCCGAAGTCCACACCCCCAAGCCCCCCTTTCTCAAGCCGGGAGCAAGGATAAGGATCCATGCAGGACGTTGAATCCCGCACTAATATGCACATGGCGTACGCCGAGACCTGCCAGAAAGCTTAGCTAGCCAAATCATTAGCGGGCGCCAGTCAGAGTCAGGGTCAGGAACACGCATGTTTGCAGCTGTTCTATTGGTGGGGGATACGGTGGTGGCATTGTGGCGAAAGGTCGCATACCACTTGACGTGATTCCGCAACATGGCCTCAAGGACATCCACCATACTGGAGTTGCACCTTGGACATGTCCACGATCGCAACAACGTTCAACTCTGGTCGTTTTTGTCCTGCTGGCGAGCCGAGAGTGAACTCCTGCCTCTTTTCCATTCACCTGTCCTTGGTCGTCTCTATCGGCGGTAGTACTATGCTTCTGGCCAGCGATTCATCTCACCATAACAGGCAACCCATCTTGGCTGCTTCGCCACCGGTAGTTGTGTGGGCGGCGCCTTGTTGTTGTTGTTTCGAATAACGTTTGAATGAGACGGAGATGGGTTGCAAGTTGCCAGAGCACGACACGAAGAAATGGAAGCTCGGAGGTCGTATTTTATAGGCTTATGGCTGGTGAGAAGTTTCTGATGGATTGGGGTCAGGTGTACTCATCTGTGGGTGTGCAATACTACCACGCCAATATTGAAATGCCGCCGTTAGCCACACCAATAGAACGATGCGACCAGCTTCACCAGTTTCACCCGTTTCATCCGTTTCGCGGCCGAGAACCCATAGAAGATCCAAGATCCCAGACCCAGCAGACAAGCTCTCGTCACATTTACCAAACTCCCGGCCCGATTCTGCGCTGTTGGTAGAGATGCCATGTATTTTGCATCGAAATAACCGAAATCAGAGTGGTTAGAGGAGACCTTTCAAAGCTTATCCAACGGCAAAGGTCTAAATCTCTGGAATCCGGTTTCTAGCTAGCTAGAAGGTGATGAACTTCGGTTTAGAGGGCTAGCTGGCTTTGAAATTTACGATCCAAGAGACGATATGAACATTATTCAAGACCTTTTATTCCTAAATCAAAGGATGGAAACTGACACCAGCGGGTACGGCGCATAGTCAATGCTCCGGCACTCATCCGTTGGAGTCAGCGGTGTAAAAGCCGAGCCGAGCCGAGCCAGCCTACTGCTCCTGTCTAATTATTCCTCGAGATCTTCTCATCGCGGGGGAGTGGCACCGGCACTATGTGCCGTGACTCCTCCCCACGATTCCACCCCGTCTGCATCGGTTACGGTGCCGACGCAAATCCGACGCAAATCCGCACAAGATTGCCCACTTGGAGGTGTGTGACTCTGCACGAACCATACGCGAATATGTACTAAGCCTTATGGCAGGATACATCCTCGGATATACTCAGAAATGCCCGAGCCGAGAATGCCTGAATAGGGCCAAGGATGAAGTCGACCGCGCGCTGGTATTGGTGGTTCATATCCGCGGAGCATCGGGGGAGATACGGACTTTTGGGAGGTTTTGCTATATATAGAGAGAGAAGAATTTCACATGGGGGCTGCCCATCGTTGAATACTTGACAGCAAGTGGGCCTCGGTTGTAGCTGAAGAAAGCGTATCTAACCTTCATAATGTACTCTCTCTGATAGCTATCCCCCCCAACATGCCTGACAATGAAGCAGGTGTTGTGGGAGAAATAGACAACACCATGTAGACGGCCTGCTTTTGTTTTTGGTCATGATCAGGATTATAGGGAGCGGCCTGAAACACACTGGCCAGCAGATGTCAACAAGTCAGTGGTACAGCATCCCTTTGAGTGCCATCAGGTACCACCTATGTACTACATCCACTTATCTTCTACATTGAGGGGAGAATCTTTAATTTCTGACTCTTTGATTGGGTACGACTTTTAACAGTACTTGGGTGGCACCTTGAGGTACTCAAAGGGATAGTAAATCAGGTCCCGATCTGTAATACACTCTTCTTATTACAATTTGATATTAACACGGACGACCAGAAGAAGCAACTAGAACAAGTAAATAAATACACTGTGAGTGATGTAAATAGTATTAAAATATTAAAACCATTTTGCTCTGTGAGTGATGTAAATTGCATTGACATATTGAAACCATTTTACTCCGAGGGAGTCTATATATCTCTCCCTTGCCTGTTCCTACCCTGCATCAACTCTCTATTCTATTTATTTATTTATTTTTCTTATGTAGCTACTAACCTTCCAGACTAAACTACCGCTTTGAAACAACTCTTCGTCCCTCGTCATCAGCCACTATCAATTCCTGAGAGGTAATAAACCACTCAAACAGTCCAGCGCGTTTTGCCATACCAACCCAGTGCAACGCTGGGACGGTTGGCAGCTTTAGCACAGCCTCATTCTCAGGTTTCCTAAACAACTCCTCCGCATGCGCCGAAGTGACGTCGGTTCGAAGGGCTGCTGTGCCAGGGTAGTTGACAAAGCGCAGCGCCTTCTCTTCCGACTCCTCGTGACCTGCGGTGACGGCGGTAGCTACAGCAGCAGCTACGTCGTTGACTGGCGCAACGTGAAATGTGCCGCCGAGTTTGGCAAAGTCGGGTCGCACACCGAGACGTAGCGAGTTGACAAGATAGGCGCGAACCAGGGCGTCTTCACCCGGCGTCAGTTGATCGGCCGGAGCGTCATCGGCGAAAGGAGCCGGTGTGGGTCGATGCGCCGTCACCCGCAGACCGGCCCGGCGCGCCGCATCGGCGAGGTACCTCTCGGCCACCCATTTCGACGCGACGTAGCCGTGGGCAGGGTCCGGCCGTGGCAGGCCACTACTGTCACCGTCGGCCTCATAATCTGCCAGGGCGCCTGAGCTCAAGACGTGCAGCGTGGCGCCAGTGCGGAGGGCCAGCTTCGCGAGCGCCTTGACAGAGTTCACGTTGACGGCTTTGAGAGCACCGTAGCCGTCCCAGAAATTGCGGTCGGCGGCCATGTGAAGGATGACATCGATCTCTGCCAGCTCGGCGGCGTCATCATCAATCGGCAAAGACGGCAGCTCGGCTGCCACCACGCGTATTTTGCTCGAGAGACCAGGAAAGAGGTTTGTCAGGTCCCTACCCTCGGCGGGCCGAGCTAGAACCAAGATCTGCGCGACGCGCTCATCAGCTACCAAATGAGGGACTACGCTCTTTCCCAGAGATCCCGTTGCACCGGTGACCAGGACGCGGAGTCCGGCGCTGTTTGAATCGCCCGTCCGCTGCTGCACCGCCGCTGGGACATCATCCAACAAGTCTAAAGCAATCTCCTTGTCCCAATCAGGGGCGGACCCTTGGCTCTCCAGCAGTGTTGCCATGCTGCCAAGCTCAGACGCTTTCATGAGCAAGCCTAGGCGCGGTGCGTCACCAAACACGCGCTTAATGACAGATTGCAGTTTGACCAGCAGCAACGAGTTGCCGCCGACGTGGAAGAAGTCGGACTGCGACGACAGCGGCTCGATCGCCAACGAAAGCTGCGGGAGCACCTCAGTCCAAAGCTCAGCAAGGCGGCGCTCGGCGGGTGTAAAGTTCTTTTGCTGTTGCTCTTGCTGTTCCGCGCTGGACGTCTTGATCTCTGGGAGAGGGAGAGCCTGCACGGCCTTGCGGTCGACCTTGCCGTGGGCAGTAAGGGGAACCTCGTCAACAGGTACGATGATGGCTGGGACCATGTAGTTCGGGAGGGAGTTGGACAGTTGCGTGCGGAGTTGGTTAATCGTCTTGGTAACTTGCGTCTCGCTCATGCCCTTGTTCTCGAGCACCACATGCGCAACAAGGAGTCCATCATGGTCGCCCTCGCCAGCATGCAGCGTCACCACGGCGTGGGCCAGCGTGCCGGCAGCTTCCCTCATAATGATTCCCTCAATCTCTGCCAGCTCGATGCGGAACCCGCGGACCTTGACCTGGGCATCACCGGCAACACGGCCCTCGATGGCAATGTAGCCGCGGGTGTCAAGCCGCCCATAATCGCCAGTAAAGTACATGCGACCCCAGCCGGTGGCCTTTTTATCCTGTGGTGCGAACGGGTCCGCGTGGAACTGCTTCGCCGTCACGTCCGGCCTGCCAAGGTATTCATTCTGGCCAACGCCGGCGCCGCCGATGACAATCTCTCCCGGCACACCGATCGGCACGGGTCGCGACTCTTCATCCATAATGTAGACGGCGTAGTTGGGCAGGATGCGACCCGGGACGGGGACAGTCAGGTTAGGATCGTGTACATCGGCAACGCCCTTCATGGTAGACACGGTCGCCTCCGTAGGCCCGTATGTGGTATAGAAGCGCAGATTCGGCAGCACACGGCTCAAGCCCCGGAACGAGTCCAGGAGACTCTGGGGCGAGCGTTCGCCGCCAAACCAGGCAGAAGTCCAGGCCGTGCAACGTCGTAGACCATCTGGCGCAAAACGGAACCACATGCTGTACTCGGAAGGCGTTGCTACGGTCATGGTCACGCCGTGCTCGGCCATCAAACGTGTCAGCTCAGCCGGGTCGCCGCGGGCGTCGGCAGGAGCGACAACAAGGCAGCCGCCGGTAGCAATGGCGGAGAAGATCTGTTTCAACGAGCCATCAGAGGTCAAGGCAAATTGCTGGAGCACGACTCGGCCAAGGGTGGCAATGTCCCACTCTCGCACGAAGCCCTCAACCATGGTGCGGATGCTGGCGTGCTTGACAGCGATGCCCTTGGGTTCGCCGGTCGAGCCGCTGGTGAAGATTATATAGGCAGTGCGGTCTTGACGGGCTGCCGTTGCGATTCTCTCCGTACTCCCATGAGTCGTGGCGGGGAGATCGGATATGTTGATGACAGCTACTACCCCGTCTTCAGCTCCAACCCCAATCTCCGGCGTGCGTGCTGCCGTGTCACTGTCGGACAGGATGACGGCCGGCTGTGCTGTTTTGACGTAGCTCTTCAGGCGTGGGATGGAGACTTTCAGATCCAATGGCAGATAGACGGCACCGACACGAAGGATAGCAATCATGGAGGCAATCCAGTCGGCGGACGGAGTCTGGAACACGCCAACAACGGACTGTTCGTGGCTTTGATCAGGCAGCTTCTCAACAAGGGCACGCGCAATGCTTTCGACCCGCTCATCCAACGCTGCGTAGGTATATACACGGCCAAAGCCATCTTTAACAGCGACGCTATCGCGGTTCTGGGAGATGACCTGGTCGAGACGGTGGGCGATGGTGGCGGGCCATTCGAGTGGCATGTCAGTGCCTATGTATCCAAGAAAGTTAGCCAGATCGTCAAACCAGAGACGAAAAAAAAAAATACATGTACATACCCTTGCCGAGTGTCAACGCTCTC